TCTAGGGATATTGAAGGCTACTACCGTTTGTAATCCCTGAGAGAAATTTCTGGGAAGGTGAGAAAAATTAAGTTGAACATAACGATGATATTTTAATGAAAGAAAAACAGAAAAAAAAAAAGGAAGCAGGGAAGAAGGGAGATAAAGGGAAAAAGAGGAAGAAAAAGGCGGAGGAGGAGAAGGAAAAGGGAGGAGGGAAGAGGAGAAGGGGAGAAAGAGAGAGAGAGAGACTTCAAGTAGGTCCCTTGCAGAATTCTCTCGCCCTCGGGGCAGTCAAGGCCCCGGTCTGCTCCCTGGCAGGTCGCTCTGGAAGGTCAGGCCACAGGGCAAATAAGCTCCGGGCTCCAGCACAGCTGTTCTCCTCCCCCGACAAGGAAAGGAAATGCCGCGCTCTCCCCACCCCAGCTCTCTGGCCCACAGAGGTCCGAGCGCTGCGGCGCCACCCTTGACACAGCAGGTCTCACCGAATCCATCTCGTCCTCGCTGGGAAAACGGCACTGTGTCCTCGCCAGTTGGAGCCTCTATTATTTGTTGACCTCTTACTTTTTGAGACGACAAGCTCCTGAAAACCCCAGACTGAGCTTGTTTACTCTGTCTCCTCGGCATTGGGCTTCTCACAGAACAACTTTCACCTAAAAGCATGAGACCCATTTCACAAAACCGTAGAGCTGTGGGGTTCAGCTCCCTCTTCCGCTCGCCATCACGCATCTGCGGACATCGTCCTGCTGCCCCGAGCCTCCCTTCTCTGCCCTGCAGAGCTCAGAACTCAGGGCCTGCAACGGGAGATTCTGAGTCTCCACCAGTCTCTTCATTCACTTCGGGGAATCTCCAATTCGCCAGTGTCCTCTTTAAGACGTGAAATCAATAAAGTGTCTTTTGGACACGCTTGAAGCTCCAATTCGGGTGGGACAAAGGCGATATACGTAACCTAAACATTTGCACCCCCATAATATGCTGAAATAAATAAACAAAGTGTATTTTACTTTAAGCCAGATGAAAATGAGACACATCCTCCTGCACAGGTAGATGGGGGCTTCCGGCCTTCGGGAGCACAGCCTCAAACGTGGAAATGAGCGTCCAGCGTGCCTGGTAACGAGCACCAGGCATAGAGCCCTTCTAGGAGCGAAGAATTGTGCCGGGTGTTCCACAGGACCATTCACTTAATCTTCAAGACAATCCTAAAAACGACTCTGTTGTAGAGATGAACCAAGAGGACCTCATCTCCAGCGAGGTCAAGCAGGAATTCAGCTCAAGTTTGAGTCAAACCCAGGCTCCTAATCACACGCATGCCACCTCCCGTAGCTGGGGCTCTTCCAGAGAAACGGCTTCAGGGAGCTCGAGAACATGACCCAGGGAATATAGACAATGCATTAAGATTTGGGGCACCTAGGTCCTGGCTCTGCCTCAGACGCTTTATCTGCAAAATGATGGGGTGGGGCTAGATGACCTCCCAAAGTTGCCTCCTCCATTCTGAGATCTGTGGTCCTGTGAGCTTTGGAGAGCCGTGCACGTGTCGAAGGGAAGAGGGAGTGAGACCTGAGCGAGGATGAAACGCGCTCCTCGGCTCGGTCGAAGTCCTCACTTGAGAACGCAGTAACTGAAAGTGGCTGGTCTGGAACGTACAGGCCGGTCCCAAATTTTCCCCGTCTGCAAGCTGCCACGCACTCACTCACCCCTTCCTCCTCTGGTGGGCAGCGGGGCAGCTTGTTCAGCCTCTTCTTCATTCTTGGGTGGCTGTTTGTGAAGGTGTCACTAATGCCAGCCCGTGCTCTGCCCACGCCGGTGCTAGTGAACCAGAGAAACCCTGAGTCCGCGATTTCCAGACCAGCAGCATGTGCCTGGCAGTGGCCCAGGGACCAGCATGAGGCACCCCGTTAGCATCTGTAAATGTGTTTTTCCCTGCAGTGGGCTTGGCTAAGGAGCAGAAGTTTCAGGGGACAGGAACCTTCTAAGATGCTGGAATGCCTAACGCAGTCACTGCTTCCTGGGAAGGTCGCGAGGAAGTTACTCCCACCACCCAGAGCTAAGCGGGCGCCCAGACGCACAGGAGATGCGAAGTGCATCAGGCAAAGCGGTGCCTCTGGATGAGACCTTAGACAGTGCCCGGGCCAGCTCTTCACATCGCAAGCAGGAAAACCGAGACCGTGACAGCTAGAAGACATGGAAAAGATGAGAAGAATGGGAAAAGAAATTTCTTTGAAATTGTGGAACTCCTTTAGATGGTGAACAAATGAAAAATGTAAGATCTCAGGGCAGAGGGCAATAAGTCAGAAAGAAAGAGTATAATATTCTAGAAACAAAAAAATCATAATAATAAGGAACACCTCCTCTTTAAAGTATGTCTAGCGGAGACAGACATTGAATCAGTGTTAAAATGTAACCAGACCCATGATTTAACCACTGAGTGAGCAGTAGAGTGTTCTCTACTACTGTAGAGTAGTTGAGGGAAGTATCAATGATAATTCTTCTGAGAAGAGGTGAAGGGTGTGATACCTTCAGCACCTAGGACAGTACATAAATGGAACTCCATAAAAGTGCATTTGGAATAAACGGATTTAAATAAAGGTCTTCCACTGGAAACCACAAAAAATCGTTTGAGAATATTATTAAAAGATGTCCATCAAGGGAAATACCCCAATACTTCCTTTTTTCACATTTTATCTTCTTCTGTTTTTTAATTTTTTTTTTCTAATTCTTAATCAGAACTCTAAGTCTTTGCTCAGTGAAAGAGCATCATTACTGAGTCAAGAGTCTGGATTCGACAAAAAGACACTAATCTCAGAGTCAGAAGACCTGGGTTGTGGCTCCAGAGACGCTACTTGCCTAGGGACCCTCTGGTGAGTTACTTCTCATTTCTGCACCTTACCGTTCTCGTCTGGAAAATAAGAAGCTGGATTAGCCGACCACCGAGCTTCCTTAACAGACTTATCCAGAACATTTCATGCAATGCCAATAGAATACATGTTATTCTCAAGTGCAAACAGAACATTTTCCAGGATAGATTATATGTGAAGCCACAAAACAAGTGCTAACAAATTTAAGGAGATTTAAAACATATTGAATATCTTTTCTGACCACAAGGAGATGAAACCAGAAATGAATAACAGGAGGAATCTTGGAAAACTCACAAATACGTGATGCAGAAAAAGCATTTGACTAAATTCAACATCCATTCATAATAAAAACTCTCAACAAAGATATAAAAGGAATGTACCTGGACACAATTAAGGCCACGTAGGGCAAATCCACAGCTATCATCATACCCAATGGTGAAAAGTTGAAATCTTTTCCTCTAAGATCAGGAACAAGACAGGGATGCTCAATCTTACCACTTCTGTTCAGCATAGTACTGGAAGTTCTGTCTTTATAAGACATATTCTTTTTTTCTTTAAGAGGTAAGGTCTTGCTATGTTGCCCAGGCTGTTCTCAAACTCCTGCAGTCAAGAGATCCTCCTGCCTCAGTCTCCCAAGTAGCTGGAACTACAGGTGCACACCACTGAGCCCAGCTTATGACATGTTCTTTGATGCAGCATTTCTATTTCTAGAAATTTATCCATATGGGCAAAATGATATATATGATACAAAACTTACTTCAGTTGTACTTGTTATTGCAAAAGTTTAGGAATAAGCAAATTGTAACAAGTTAGCAATATTTTATAAATACAAAACTAGTTAAGTGACAGCATATAAAAACACTGAAACAGTATAAAGGTATTAAAATGATACAGTTGTATGTGTTTTGATATACGAAGTATCCAAGATACGGCAGTAGGTAAAAAAAGCAAAGTACGCAGCCATGTGTGTAAGGCTAAGCAGTGGTGGTTTCCTGGAGAAGAGGTGGAGGACGGGGGTAGAGAGAGAAGCTCATGACTCATTCCACCTTTAGCATTCTGTTCCTTGTGCATGATTTAAAATTTCCTAAAATTAAACAAACAAAAAAATCAAAGATCTCAGAAGGGAGCTGTGTCTGTTTTTATATTTCTCAAAGTGGAGAGAAGTAACCGGTACACATTTTATATGATGTGTTCAGATCACACTAGCCTCTTGAAATCAATCTTTCAGTTTTAATCTGACCAACTTTTTTTTTTTTTTTTTTCAGACAGAGTCTCATTGTGTTGCCCAGGCTAGAGTGCCGTGGCATCATCCTACCTCACAGCAACCTCAAACTCCTGGGCTCAAGTGATCCTCCTGCCTCAGCCTCCCGAGTAGTTGGGACTACAGGCATGCGCCACCATGCCTGGTTAATTTTTTCCTATATATTTTTAGTTGTCCAATTAATTTCTTTCTAATTTTAGTAGAGACGGGGTCTCGCTCTTGCTCAGGCTGGTTTCCAACTCCTGAGCTCAAACAATCCGCCCGCCTCGGCCTCCCAGAGAGTTAGGATTACAGGCGTGAGCCACCGCGCCCAGCCAATCTGACCAACTTTTAACCTAGTATCCCACTGAGCTCTTGTCATCTATGGCCTTTAAGGTCATTGTCCACACACCGGGCCGGCAGCAGCCTACTCACCACATACCCTCCAAAGCCTCCTACATGAGGGGGGCAATGCCGGAATCTTGCAGAGATGAACTCTCTGCTCCTGGGGTCCAGGTCTGCCCCAGGGACTAGACTCCCAGAGAGCAGCAGGCCCATCTTCAGAAAATAAGAAGCATTTGTTCCCTGAGCTAATTGCATGAAAGCACTGTTTCTTTTCTTTTTTGAATATTAAAAAGTAAATATTCCAACAGATGGGAAGCAGGAAAATGCAACGTGGTCATTATCACTATCAGCCCAGACCCAGGACACACACTAAACACACAGAGTTGCTGTGATGAAGCCGCCGGGACAGAGGAGCATCAAAGGGACCTTCAGGCCAAGGGCAGCCCTCACCCTCCCAGGCAGATGCTCACCGGCCCTCCCTGCAGGCTGGTCTCGCGCCTCCTCCCACAGACCTATAAACAGGGCTGACTCCTCGCTCCACACACTCGCCTCCTGCTCTCCCTGCTCCAGACGACACCAGCATGAAGACCCTCATCCTCCTCGCTGCCCTTCTCCTGCTGGCCCTCCAGGCCCAGGCTGGGCCCCTGCAAGAGAGAGATGAGGAGATCCCACCCCAGGAGGAGCCCGAGGCAGAGGATGAGGACATGGCCATCTCCTTTGCAGGGGACAAGAGCTCAGGTGTCAGAGCTGCAGGTGAGAGACCCAACTCTGTAGAGCTGGGGCGTCTAGAGAGGAAACCCAGATTCCTCTAGAATCAGTCCCAGCACTGGCTCTGTGTTTTCAGGTGATCACCTCCCCAGGCCTCCGTTTCCTCCTGTGTATACTGAAAAGAAAGAACTAGATGATATCAAGAGAATTTTCTTCCCCAAACATTTTTGACTCTATGACAATTCTGTGAAATTCACTGACTTTCTGCTATGTAGAAACATACCGGGCGTGTCTTCTGCATCACAGATGAGAGCTCTCGTGCAAGAAACACACTTTCCACTGTCTATTATGGTAGCCTTAGAAAGTGGAGACGGGCCCAGGGTGTGTTCAGACGTGTGTGTGATGGGGCAGCAGAGCAAAATGGTGGGAAGTGAGAATGAGACGCTAATCCTGTGTGTGTACAACACTGCTGTGTGTATTTATTCCCAGTGACTGGGACCGATCATGCTGCCGGCTGTAATGTCACCAATATGACGAACCCACTCAACCCAGCGCATAACTGCACGGGGATTCCCTTTACCACCTCCTTTGCCCCCAGTCCTAGTGCCTGACGCTCTCTCTGTGTCCCCAGGCTCAACCAGGGGCTTGACCTGTAGCTGCAGAAGACCAGCCTGTCGTTCTTCAGAGAGCGTCTATGGGTCCTGCCTCTACCAGGGTGTCCGCTACAAGTTCTGCTGCCGCTGAGCGCTGAGAACAGAGAACAACGACTTCGTCATGTGCTTCGAGACCTAAAGGGAACTTTTACTCCTCCTGTCCCTTGTCCCCCACTTCCTTTCCTCAAATAAAGTCTTCATAGCAAGTTCTCTATGTCTGGATCTCTTTGATGATCAAAATGTGATTTAGTTGAGACCCTTTGGGATGGAAGTACCAGAATCCTAGATTAAACTTTTTAAACAAAATGCAATTTAGAAATCTAGGATTCTCAGGGATGAAAGTGGCTTCAGACACAAATTGATATGAAAGCGCCAATGACGCGGCTGCTCTCGCCATGAGCTTCCCCGTC